TCGTTGCAAGTTCGTGTAAAATTCGTAGTCACTTCGTTTCGTTTTCGTTTCAATGTCGTTTCATGGTCGTCTTAATGTAGTTTGAATGTCGTTTCTCACTTCGCGTTAATTTCGTGATACGTTCGTTTTAGCTTCGTTTGATGTTGATGATATTCCCCAATCAGAGCTTGCCTCTGTAGGGGTCTTAGCGGATTCATATGATTAGGTGAAAATCGTCGCCGATTTCGGTGGGTGGACCGGGTGCCCGGTGCCCGGAGATGCCCGGTTGCCCGGGTGCCCGCGGGTGCCCGGAGGTGCCCGGGGGTATCTGGAGGTGCTCAGGGGTGCCCGGGTGCCCAGGTGGCTTATCGCCCTATGACCCTGTAGCCCTATAGCCCTATAGCCTTATAGACCTATAGCCCTACAGCCCAATAGCCCTATAGCCTTATAGCCCTATAGCCCTATAGCCCTATAGCCCTATAGCACTATAGCCCTGTAGCCCTAATAGCCATATGGCCCTATAGCCCTCTGGCCCTATAGCCCTATAGAGCACTATAGCCCAATCGCCCTATAGCCCTTATAGCCCAATAACCCTGTAGCCTTATAGCCTTATTGCCTTATAGCCCTACAGCCCTATAGCCCTAAAAAGATTATGATTGTTTTTTTTCTCCGGTGTCATTGTTATGTTCGTCACAAGTTCGTGATAGTGTTGATGTTCCCCAGTCTGAGCTTGCCTCTGTAAGGGGTCTTAGCGGATTCATATGGTTAGGTGAGGTTTGTCACCGATTTCCGCGGCCCGCCCGTTTGCCCGGGTGACCGGGTGCCTCGATGCCTTATAGCCCCATAGCCCTATAGCCCTGTAGCCCTAGAGCCCTATAGCCCCATAGCCCGATAGCCCTATAGCCCTATGACCTGTAGCCTATAGCCCTATAGCAATATAGCCCTGTAGCCCTATGGCCCTATAGCCCCATGGCCTAATAGACCTGTACCCCTATGGCCCTATAGCCCAATAGCCCCATAGCCCTACAGCCCTATAGCCGTATGGCTCTATAGCCCCATAGCCCTATAGCCCCATCAGCCCAATAGCCCTAAAAAGACTATGAGTGCTTTGGGCGCGGGTGCGCGGGTGCGAGGGGTGGGGTACGGGGCATGGGCAAGGGTGAGGGATGGCGGCGGGCGCGTGCTCGGGTTTCCAAGTCCAATAACTTGTCACCAGGCATTCGTTTACGTTTTCGCAACCTGAAACTTTCTCTCCTGCGTTCGATGTCGTTTTCAAGTTTCGTTTTTTGGCAGTGCGGGGAAAATAATCAATCCCTGGTGCTTGGGCATCGACGGAGTCTACTGAAGCCACGGAACTGACAATCTGACGAGGGTGTGGACACCTGGGCAACACAATATAGTGAGCGATTCCATGAACCGCGCTTGGCATGATCATGATGCAGCTGGTAGTCTTCGCTCGCACACGCATGCCTTCCAAACGCGCAACCAGGAACGATGCCAGAAAACCTTCGGAAGCGAAGGACCTATTCGAAAACGCGTTGTGCCAAAGCCGAATGGTCGGACGATAGACTCAGCGATGTCGCACATTGATCGCACTCCTGTGCGTGATAGGCACAGCCGAACGACACCAGACCTTCGGTGTAATGTTTTTTTACAATGTGGATCCCTGCCAAACTCTCGGCCCGTTTCCCAAGACAACGTTTTCCGTCAATAATGGTGTACCAGTCCTCGTTGGGACGGACGGGGCGGGCCTCGTCGTAGCGGATACAGCGCACGCGTCACGGAGGTGACACTCGACGCGGAGCTTCTCGACCTCTCTGAGGACTCTGAGGAAAACGACACGGCCTCGGCCAAGGCCGACATCTACTATCATGAAGATGACGATCTTCTGCTAGGGGAAACAAAGAAGGGCCCACTGACGCAGTGGCGGCGGGGAAACCACGCTGCTAAAATTCAAGCCCAACTGTCCGGGCTGTAATCTATGGCGCGTGATCTGGCGGGCCCAACCCGTGGTGTATCACCATTGTCAGCTCGGGTCTCGAATCCGCCGACCCCTTGTGGGTCTCTAGGCGTGTGAGATAGTTCCCCCCCCTATAGTCCCCCCCCCGGGACCCCAAACCGGCGATTTGACCCCCCCCCCCCGGGCCCGGGACGAGCGCCTCCCCCGGGCCCGGGACGAGCGCCCCCCCCGGGCCCGGGACGAGCGCCCCCCCCGGGCCCGGGACGAGCGCCCCCCCCAGGCCCGGGACGAGCGCCGCCGGGGCTTTTCCGGGCCCGGGACGAGCGCCGACGGGCTAAGAGGCCTCCAAGACGGCCCAAGAGGTCCCCAAGAGGCCCCAAGAGGCCTCCAAGATGCGTCCCACGAGGGTCCCTAGACGCAAAAATTGGCCCATTCCCTTCGTAAAACGTACATTTATCACGAATTCGCTTTTTGGGCTTTCCGACGCTCCCAGACGGCCCAAGAGGCCCTAAATACCGCCCCAAGACGGTCCAAGCAGCCTCCAGGGAAGCTCCAAGGCAGCCCAAGAGAGCCCCAAGACAGCCCAAGAGGCGCCCAAGATTGCCCAAGAGGGCCCCGAAGACGGCCCCAAGAGCGCTCCAGGAGCGCTTCAAGTGGCCTCCAAGAGAGCTCAATATGGTCACAGACGGTCGAAGAGCGATCAAAGACACCGACGATCGCCTCCAGACGGCCCAAGACGGCCCCAAGAGGCCCCAAGAGGCCTCCAAGATGCGTCCCAGGAGGGCCCCAAGAGGCCGCCAGAGGCCCCCAAGAGGCCGCCAAGACGCCCCAAGGAGCCCCCAAGAGCCCCCCAGGAGGCCTCCAAAAGACCCCCAGACGCTTCCGCATTGCGAGCCGTCAAGCCAACTGCAATGCACTCCGCGCATGCAGCCTTGCTCTTCCTCGCGACGTGCTCACAATCTTGCTCGGCGCGAATGTGCTGCTGCTACGCGAACTGTTTCGTGCGCGCTGCGAACGTCAACAGCCTCTTCACCCGTTTCGACTCATCTGCCACATCTTTCGCGGTGCTGCTTCGCTGATCACAGCAAACATTTGGACCCCCTACGTATCTGCCACCACCCGCGCGCGACACCGCACCCTCACACAAGACGCCGCTGGCCAGAAACTCCTGGTCTCGCAACAGTCACAGAAGGGGTCGGCGGATGTGGCGTAAGCCTGTAGAATCATTCTACAGTTCAATCTCCTGACCGAAGGCGAGACCCTTGACCCCTTGTCAAACTCAAACGTAACGTCTCACCTGCCAGGCCGATGAACAGCCGCAGCCACCCACACACAAAGAAATGACTGCTACACAACGACA